ATGGAAGGCACATTTATCCTGGGCTCCTCATATATCGAGTGGGTAGATATTCCTAAAACACAAGTCATCAGTGGTCAAGTAACTCATTTCCTTAGTAGGATTCTCGATTAGTCAGTCACTGATTCAAACACATTAATTCAAATGCTCATAATCAGCCCCTTCTAATGAGTCATTTAAAAAAAATTCTGTTGTCTAAATTTAAAAAGCAAGTCTTGATTATCAACATATTTTGAATGAACACTTAATACATTGTTCCATGCCCAGATTTATGCAAGAAACCAAGAAATACACAGTACAAGACGATACATTTTTGTTGAAGTAAAACACACACACAAAAAAAACCCAACCAAAACTCAAACCACACATGCATGAAAGCACACATATACATATGCTTTATGCGGTTAAATAGAAAGATACACACCAATAAGTTAAAAGGAAATATCCCCAGGTGGTGAGATTGCAGGTGTATTTAATCTGCTCCTTTATACTTGGCTGCATATTATAAAGGATGCTAAATGAACATGTGTTGTTTTTATAATAAAGAATTTAGAAAAATTTAAAATGAGATGCAAGACACAGTTTTTGCTTTCAAAGAGCATCTGGTGATTAAGGGATAAACAACTTTTATGGAGGCAGCTCTGGTGGTGCAGTGGTTAAGTGCTCAACTGCTGACCAAAAGGTTGGTTTTCTGAGCCCACCCATGACTCCACAGGAGAAAGACCTGGGAGTCTGCTCTTGTGAGAGTTACAGTCCGACACTAAGGAGTCCTGGGGTCTTAGATAAGTTGATTGTTGGACTACTAATCAAAAGCGTGTAGTCTAAGAAACCCTATAGGGTAGTTCTACAAAGGCTTATTTTGAATTGAAGTCAATTTGATGACCCAACAGAGTGTGGAAATTATAAAGCAGTATCATTAATATCAAACGCAAGCAAAATCCTGCCAAAGATTATCAAAAAACAGCTGGAACAGTACATCGACAGAGAACTACCAGAAATACAAGCTGGCTTAAGAGGTCATAGCACTAGAGCCATTATCACCAATGTCCGATGGATCTTGGCTGAAAGCAAAGAGCAGTAAAGGAATGTCTATCTGTGCTTCACAGATTATGCAAAGGTGTATGACTGTGAATCATAACAAATTGTGGTTAACCTTGAGGACAATGTGAATCCCAGAACACTTGATTGCACACATATGAAACCTACACTAGAACCAAGAAGCAGTCCTCAGAACAGATCAGGGAAACACTGCATGGTTCAAAATCAAAAAAGGAATGCATCAGGAAGGCATCCTGTCTCCATACTTTTTCAATCTTATATGTGGAACAGATCATTCAGGAGGCTGGGCTTTATGAGGAGGAATGTGGTATCAGGATTGAGGAAGACTCATTAACAACCTGCAATGAGCAGATGACACAACTTTACGTGCTGAAACTGAGAAAGAACTGAAGCACTTGTTACAGAAAGTCAAGGACTGTAGTCTTCAATATGGATTGAAGCTTAACATCAAGAAGACAAAGATTCTCACCAATGAGCCAAATGGCAGCATCATGATAAACAGAAAAGAAATTGAGGTTGTTAACAATTACAGCTTGCTCAGCTCCACAATCAACACTCTTGCCACCAGTAGTCAGGAAATCAAAAGATGTATTGCATTGAGAATATCTGCTGTCAGAGACTTCTCCAGAGTGCTAAAGAGCAAGGATGTCAGTCTAGAGACTAAGGTGCACATGATCAAGCCCACAGTCTTCACAATAATTTGTTATGCATCAGAAAGCTGAACAGTGACTAAAGATGACAGAAAAAGAATTGATGCCTTTGAGTTGTGATGGTAGAGAAGAGTATTCTCACCAAGAGAACAAACAGGTCTTTCTCTGAGAGGGTGAAACCAAGTTTCTCCTTAGAGGCTAGGATTTTGAAACTCTGTCTCACATACTTTGGGCACATGGGCAAGAAGAGGGACCAGTCCCTGGAGAAGGCCATCATGTTCAGAAGGGTGGAGGGACAGCACAGGAGAGGAAGACCCTGGATAAGATGGATTGATACAGTGACTGAGATAAAGGGGACAGGTGTGCCAGAGTCAGTAAGACTGGCTCAGGATAGGGCAGGCTTCAGAGCTATTGTGCATAGGGTCCTTATGAGTCACAGACAACTCAAGGGCACATAATGACGACAATCTTTATGGGGAGGAGTAAGATTGTCTGAATTGATAGACTGACGGTTGGTAACTAGAGCTGTCATATTTTTCCTTTCATATCAAGTGCAGGTGGAGATTGCCCATTTTGCTCCCACAGACCCATTAGTGGGTCTGAATCACCAGAGAGGGATGGGTTGGCAGTCCAGCTCTCTATCAGCTATGCCACTGGAGTTCCCTCTTGAACAAAAACCACATTTCCATGGAAATAATATAGTTACATTGATCCTACATTCCAATAAATAGTTTAGCTACTGGAAACTGGACTTTAATGAGCTTATCAAAAAACCAGTCCTCCAATTAAAACAGTTTCTTTGGTAAAATGCATTCAAATTTCCAAGAAGTAACTCTACAATTAAATTCTTGGAACACAACCTCAAAAGAAATATGACGGGAACTAATAAACTTGCCTCTGCCCATCATCATCATCGTAACAATAACTGATGTTAATGTTTACTTCTTGCTTGTCAAATTCAGTATTCACTTAACCCTACAGAGCCCAAAGTGGGCAGTTTTATTATCATACCATTTATAGACCCAGAAACCAAGGTACACACCTCACAAAACTTGGTTATGATCACCAAGTCCATGATAGGGCCATGACAGGTCCACGTGGACCAGCTCTGTATCCCAACTCTTGATAGTCTATTTTCTGCCAGTTTTCATATGTCATGGGTCTTGCACATAACTCTTTTGGTAATGATTCAGACAAAGTGAGCATTTTTTTAAACAAATAAAAATTTACAATTATTTCCATACAGTTTTGTTAAATGGAGCCCTGATCTGATATCTAAAGCAGAGGTCAGCAATTTTTGTTATTTTTTCACTAAGTATTTTAGGCTTTGAAGCTATATAGTCTGGTTCAGTTATGTATTCCACCCTCTGCATGAACGCAGCTACAGACACCATGTAACTGAAAGGGCATAGTATTGTCCCAATGATTAGTTAGTTACAAAACCAGGTGATGGGCGCTATTTGGCTGCATGCAGTGGGTTGTCACCACTGAAAAGGATGCTATTATGATGTTGCTAACAAAAATGAACATACCTGTAAGCCCTTAAAGGAGGTTTAAAGACTTGGCTACCTCAATAGAGACATCCCTCAGATATACGGGCATGTTCTGTTCTGGTCCACAGCAACAAAGTCTCACCATTTTTTTATGGATATAAAAGTTATGCTTATACAACACTATAGCTTAAGAAGCAAGCAGTAGCATTATGAAGCAGGAAATATTTTAAGAATTACCAAAAAGTGACAGAGACTCAAAGTGAATAAACGTTGTTTGGGAGATGGTGGCAATTAGACTTATTCAAACCCAGCGAGGCTGCACACCTTCAACTGGAGGTGGGGAGGGGAAAAAGACAACATCTGCAAAGTGCCATAAAATGAAGTACATGCAAAAAAATCTCTGCAACAGGAAAGAGACAGCACAGGGTCAGTCTGAATGGCCCAATTGTCTGTGGAATAATGTTACTAATTAGTATTGCTTAATAAATGCTTGCTGCATTGAACTTTCCATTCACTTGTAATGAGATAGGCAGTCTTGGCAAAAGTATTGCTATACAGACTTGGGTGTTTTTAACTATTAGCCAAAATAAATAGTATTTTTTAAAAAATAGACTAGAATGTATACATGAGAAAACCATTCCTCTTCATTCTAGTTCAGGACTCCAGGAAATTTTTAGGTTGAAATTCAAAATGTCTATCAGCTGGAATTCTTGGTTAGAGAAAATGATTAAGCTCTTGGCTACTTGCTGAAAGTTTGGGGGTTTGAAACCACCCAGAGGCACCTCAACAGACAACTTTGTGAAATGCTTCCAAAACGTTACAGCCTTGAAACCCCAGGGAGCTGTTCTTGGGGGCAGCAATGAGTTGTCATGAGTAAGATGGACTCAAGAGCTGACAATATGCAACAACAGAAGCAAAACTCCACCTTTTAATAAACCATATTAAGACCTATGTCACTGCCTGACAGATAGTACACACACCTTTGCATGTCTCTGGTTGACTCTGCAATGATGCTAGTAAGACATTTTTCACAGTTGCATCAACATAACTTTTGGATTCCAGAGATAAAGCAAATATTGCCATTTGCACCTTGTGATGAAGTCAACACACATTTGAGTCAAATTTTCATGCTGAATTTTAAAAAACCCTTAAAACAAAACAAAACAAAACAAAACACAACTAAACCAGCATCTGGTAAGATAAAACTGAAACATAAAAATAACTCAGGAATGTCAGGTATTTTCAACGATTTTCTTAGTTGATCTTCTTGTGTTTTCTTTAGTAAACAAAAGAACGCAGAAAAACTGGCAAAATAAGCTTTTTTTTTTTTTTTTTTTTTTTTTTTGCATGGGGCTGTCTTTTTTAAGCCTTTTAAGTCAGCAGTTTAATACCTGTTTACCAACGAGGGCACACCCCAAGAAAACTCTACCAAGATTTTCTCTGGAACCAGCAGAACTATTTAGACTCCATATGCATAGAACACCCAGAGGTTGTAAGAGTAGAATGTAGGCTGCATCCTGATTTTTGTAAAATGACAAAAAAAAAAATCATTTACTAAGGCCCTTACCCTTTACCCGGTCTAAACCAAGGGACCAAAACAAACAAACAAACCAAAAGAATAGCAATAACAACAACAAAAACACCCCAACCCCCCCAACCAAAACCTCATTCTGAAATGGTGACAATGACGTGAGCACCTATTGGAATTCAGACAGCTCGCCTTACATCAGCAGTAAAGCCACGTTGCACCCAAACATTATCGTATAACCTAGAAATATCTCAAGACAACAACAAAGGATACAAAAATATAGTCGTCCATGTATCTCTTCTTGAGGTTCTCCACGATGGCGTTCTCCGTGATCTTGGAGAGCAGCACCATGTCGTCCACGCCACTGTGCTTGACATTTTGGCTCTGCCAGTGGTACCGGTAGGCACCCTTGCTTCCCTGAAAATGGAAAACACACAATCATTAGGCTAATTTGTTTTTTCCATGGTTCTTTTTAAAGCCATTAATTTCCTAGATATTTTCAAATTAAATGCAATAGAACAAACCAAGGAGCAGTTTTTAGATCGATAGGTCTGAATTTCCAGAGCTCTGCTGTGACAGTCCGCAGGGAGCCGCACTGCTAACCCTAAGGCAGGGCCTCTCCGGTGACTTGTATCCACCAGCGGCTCCACAGAGCAAGATGCATGATCTCCCAGAAACCCAACAGAGGGCCAGCTATGAACCAGTTCCCACTCAACGACAAGAAAAAGAAAATAAAAACAAAAACTCGATTCAAATTCCACTCCAACTGCCTACAAGTCAGGGACCTTTGCCTAAGCGAGCCTGTGTCACTTCCTCCTGTCTTCTCTCCAAGAAATAAACTGAACTCAAAAGAATCACTATGAGGTTTTTAAATAACACAGTGAAGTGCACAATGTGTCTAAAATGTAGCCAATGAACAACTGCCTCTAATAATTTTATTGTTTTATAGAATCGATCACTGAAAATAAGCAATGAGATACAAACACAATAGACTTGCTTTGTAAATTCTATGACAGTCTTTTTAAATTGAAAAATGCACAGTTTGCAGTGGTCAGATTGTGCCATAAATTCTAAAGTCAACTAAATTCACATTCAAAAGATAAACTGCATTTGGGTGACTGATCACAAAAGGAGTGAATGAGGACAGGTAATGGTGACCACAGTTAACTTATCTTGATCACCTGGTCCCCTGGCCTCCTTGGATGGATGAAGCTTTGGCCCTTGACTACTCACTAGTTTGCAATTTAACACAAGAGAGACCTCTGAACACTCTGTGGGCAGTAAGGTTTTCTTTCATTTAACATTTCTTTTGTGAGGGCTCCTGTGGGCTCAGTTATAGGACAAATTCTAGACTGAGATGTTGAGAAGAGACCTACATATACACTGGAGGGCTGATAGTTGCTGAAGGACACAGGCAAAACATTTAAAGTACCCACAAGTCAATACATAAACATGCACTAAACATTATTTAACACGTTGCCGCGCACTTCTTAAATTGACGGCTGTGCTCAGAAACATATTTGCCGTCATTTGCACAAACGTGTTAAGTGTGTTACTCATATGTCCAAGGGAGAGAAGGTGACATTAATGGATCAACACAATGTTGAATTGCCAGGAGAGAACAGAGGAAGAAGGGTATTTCTCACAATTTACAATCGTTGGTGTAAAAACAAACAACTAGTTCATTTGAAATAATAGCAAATATTACATGGCAAGCTACTGAAAGAATCTCTCTTTCTTCAAAACACTTTAGGCACCGCACTCATGATATAAGTGTGGTGGAGGCTCAACTGAGGAAGACTCAAGTCTTGTCTTTTCTCTCTGGGACTTCAATACCTCTTGGGTGAGTCTGAATAAAGGGAATAAACAATTTTAAATGAGTACCACGTTCTCACACATCAAACTTAAGATGAAAAAAAGGTACAAGAATCTTCTTGAGAAAAGAAAGGAAACACAATGAATGCTATCTTAAATTTGTTACTCTGGCGGGAGTTGTTGGCTGTCAGTCAATACCATAAATGTCACTAAATTGAATATGTGATAAATGTAGAACTGAGAATTGTTTTTATCTTTTTTCCCCATAACTAAATTCTTTTATCACAAAGCATTTTTAAATGAGATATTATAGTAGACAATAGCTTGAATGAAATTACAGAGAATACATTTATTTTTTTTAAATGCGAGAAATAAAATCTTTTCAAGAATGAGAATGACATAAATATTCCCTTTAGGTAAACATACTGCCCCCAAAAGAACCATAAAATTGTTTCCTGTTTTCTCAGAGGAAGACACAGGTCCTTCAGCGAAAAGTAAATTCTAAGAGGTTATGAGAAAAGCAAAACTCTGGTGGCCTAGTGGCAAGCAGCTGTACTTCAATCCCAAAGGCATGAGGTTCAAGGCCACTAGCTATTCCATGGGAGAAGGATGGGCAATCTCCTCCCATGAGATTAAATGCTTCTGAGAACCTTCCAGAGGGTCAGCTATGGGTCAGTTGTGATTCTATGGTAAATAACAACAACAACAACGACAGAAAAGCAATTCTTTCTTACAAGATAGCCAGCAACGGGGCCACCACTGGAGGAGCATGCCAGTATCATGGATTCCAAGCTTCAGAAAGGGAGATTGGAAGGCTTGCCAACACATCATATCCTATAACAATATTTGATATAGAACACTTTCTCAGAGCCACATACAAATTACCTCAACCTTTGCAACATCATTATCATCACCCTCACCTGTGGCAAAACAGAAAGAGAGAGAGAGAAACCCTGGCCATAGTACGATTCACATCAAATACCCACAGTGTACTTACAATCAGGTAACCATTCCTTGGTGCTCCACCCCAGCATTCACTTCCCTCCTTGTCCAATTCAGCTAATGTTTTTTAAGGAACCACCAAATTTACTCTGCTTGGAAAACCAAAGCCTCACAGGAAAGGAATGAATATCTTTTACTTGGTATGTTTGCTTGTTTTTAATCCCAACAGAGATCTACCTATTTAAAGAAGCTGTTATTTTTCTTTTTGAAAAATGTTAAGCATAGTCTCCCCTCCCCCCCCAAAAAAGATGGCCCTAAAAAAAAAAGATGGGGTATGAATAAGCTATAGTTTAACCTTGACAAAGGACAAGAAACAACCATAGTCATGGTGTCTGTTTTTGCATTGATCCACAGAAACTGCTTTCTCAAGGTAACATTGGTCTTGGCGTCCAATTGTCCAGTCCAATGTCCTTTCTCCGTCCTCAGTGTATATTGATACATCATTATCTGTTCTGTCTCAAATGCTATTTCTTCCTCCTCCTAATGGCAACTCTTTTCCCATTAGAATAGCACTACCTGTGCAGTTCACAGATTCTCTTGATCCCAAATAGTGCCAAAGATTTGCTGCCCTCAGGGTACACTTCTCTCACTCATGTTGTAGGGCTCATCTACAATGGATGAGTGGTCAGTTCTTTGAACAGTTATTATACATAAGCCAATGAGTTAGGTGGTTTGGGGGGACAGTGCAAGAGAGGAAGACCCTTGATGAGATGGACTGATTGAGTGACTGGGGAAATGGGCGTGAGTGTGTTAGAGACAATTAGATTGGCACAGGATAGAGCAGGGTTTAGGGCTGTTTTACATTGGGTCACTATAAGTCGCAGGCAACTTGATGACGCATAACAACAACAAAAACAACAATTGTTGTGAGGTGTCACTGAGTTAATTACAACTCATATGGACAACAAGAGTTCACTACAACCCTATGAACAACAGATAAAAACCTTGCCTTGTACCACGCCATCCTCATGAGTGCCACCATACTCAATTGTGAGTCATTATGCTAACCCATCTCCCTCTTTTTTGTCAATTCTTTATTTTTCCCAGCATGAAGCCCTTTTTGCCAACCCTCCTGACAACATGTCCAAAGTGTATGAGATGATGTTTCACCATCCTTGCCTGGTTGCCCTTCCCCAAGACAGAGTTGTGTGTTCCTTGACAGTCTACTGGTATTCAATACAATTCAAATAATATTCCAGAACAAACCTATGAGAGAGAGGTTAACATTCTTGAACTACATAGAAGGAAACTGAGATTTTCTAACTAGTAAAGTGAGATCTGAACCCACGTTTCTACAATTATAAACTCTCCCAAATCTGGGTTTTGGTTTGGTTTTTTACACTCTCTGGTATTTACTGGTGATTTCTACCTGTTTAGTTAAAGACGGCAACAAAATGCAGATCTTCGAAACAGAATTCACCATTTAAAAGACGATATTAATTTTCTAAGCTTTGATAACTACTACTTCCATTTAGCATTCGAGGCTAAAACACTGATGTTATTTTTTGACTTGACATATTTCCTGTATTCAAATGGGCACAAAACTATTTCTCTCTCTACCTCTCCCCAGCTTCCTCTTTCCCTCTCCTTGGCCATTGAGCACATTACCTAAACTGACTCCTCTAACCTTCACCAAGCAGCTACTGCAAACTGCAAATTATTCTCTTTATTTTACTGATGAGCTCACCCTAAATGGTCCAAGGTCTTCTAATTTTAACTTCTCCATTTACTGACTGCCAGTTACTATCACCTTACTCCTCCTTGCCACAAAATAAAAACATTCTGATGAGGTAAAGGGAGGGAGGAAAGGAGGGCAGTCAGGAAGGAAAAGCTGGACTGCCCAGATACTCAAGGAGAAGGCTCAGACCCCACCCGGCAGGCAGATGAAAGCTGGGAGAAGGCTGGGACCGGAAAGGGCACGATGATGTCAGCAGGGAAGTCGGAAACCAAATTTGGATGCATAGACTCTTATCCCAGGCCAGGAAAGCTTAAAACATCCCATAATGAAAGAGAACAGATTTCTACTGTGTTGTAGCAGGTGTCCTCAAGAAAGTTCCACTCATAGGGACCCTACGTACAACTGAATCAAACACTGTCTAGTCTTGTGCCATTCTAAAATGCAGGACAACACAATCAGGTAACAGAATGACCTCTGACTTTCCCAGAGATGTTGCTTGGAGCATAGTCAGATGACCATTTCTAATTCCCAAACGATGACTGTGGTATCGTGGGATTATTGTTCAATATGGTTTTTCTAGCCATCAGTTTTGACTTTTACCACATGGCTGGTGGGAACATGAATTACGGTGTGTATTAACGACTTGTGATGGGATTGGTCAGTTTCCCCATCCCACCAGGCTTAAATTAAGCAGGCTTTGCAACAGAAGTTAGGAATCTTATTACCAGCAAGAAGCAGCAGAGAATGCAGTGTGAGTCCTTCAGGGTCAGACATTTCTGCTCTAGTCAGATTGAGACCTACAGGAAAGTAGTCGCAGTCTCAGTAGAAAACCAGAACTAACATGAGAGAGAGCTGACTTGGGAATGCTGTGCCATGGAGCCAGACCCAGGGACCATCTCCCAAGCTTGCTGGAGGATTCAAGGGAAACACCATTGGCAACACTAAAAGAGTTTTGTACGGTACAAAACTGAAAGGTCTATGAGCACGCTCAGGAAGTTGTTCTGACTGTGGAATTGTATCCTGCTGCCAACCTGAATTGTACTCTGTTAACATCTCTAATAAACCCCGTAACTGTGAGTATGGTTCTGTGAGGTCTGTGTGAACATTGCAATGATTTTCAGACCTAGTACAGAGCCGTACAATTGGTATTAGAATTAGCAGAAGTAGAGAAGGGAGCATGGAGACCATATCTGACCATATGGGGATGGTTTTGTATTGTGGATGTTGCTGATGGGGCCTGTTCCCCTTTATGAAGTTAACTGATATCAGCCTTGGCAGGCTCCACATCACTCACACTCTTTGCAATGCCCTATGAAGCAAAGGCAGAGAGTTTACTTGAGACCACAGAACACTGTATCTAGTGACCTGAGTGTGAGACTATGAATTACAGTTCCAGAACAAATGAATACCACCTGCTTCCCCTCAGTTTCTTCCTTCCACCCCTGGCTGAAAGGCTAGGGCAAGGACTGGCTGACACATAGGCTGTGAGGAAGAACTGCAGTGGTAGGACTTCCCCTTCTTTGTGAGGCACAGTATTCTTCACAGATGGCAAGTGCCCTGTTCATCACACAAGATTCTACTTCCTTCTCATCTGTGGGTTTCTTTTTGATTGAGTCTTTTTATTTTCCATTAAACAAGTGGTAACATTTTAAACAAGTTTCCAGTATACTTCTTTCCTGGATGATCTTTAAAGAATGGGATAGGGCTTTGCAGAGAGAATAGCTGAAATAATAATAATATAATAGATAATGACATGTTACTCTAAGCACTAATATTACAAATTAATAAGGTATCATTTCCCATTAGATAATAGCTGAATATAGACTTTCTCTGGTCTTCATTTAGTTTATAATAAGGATAATTCTAATAAGCTATCAATTCACACATAAATTCTGGTATGTAGGAGTACTTCCATATCCCTAGAGTGGACTGATTTGTTCAAGTAGGAGGTGGCACTTAGTTACAGGAGGCCCTGACGTGGAGGGGACAGCCCAGCTGTGGTGCCAGAGCCATTCAGTCAGATTGACTGAATCCTGACCTGAAAAGGTGGAGTGTCGCTGGTTGCTGTGTGTTCAGCAGGGTGGGGACTAGGAAGAGCAAAGGTGAGTCCTTTCTCAAAGGCAGGGATTATTCTTTCCCTGAAAGACTATGTTCAATTCACCCTCAGAGAAAGCGCTAATGTAGGCCTGGCCTGTTTCCAGGGCAGTGCTGCAAACATTCAAGCCAGTGTCCCACAGAGCAATTTTCTTCTTTGGTCCATCCAGGAGGGAGGAGGAGACCATACAATGGGTGGGAACTACCCTCTTCAGATGCCCAGAAAAGGGAGGCATTAAATGAGCCCCATAAATACAATAAGGCCAGTGTTGGGCAGGACCTCTGGGGGAGGGTGTGACCACAAATAAGGTCTCTTAGATACTCTTCTAAAAGGAGCACACACTGCATAGAGCTGTCAAGAGAGCAATGTGGAAACAAGAACCAAAATTTTAGACACGCAGAATAAGGTAGAAAAATTCTCATTCTCTTTAATCTGGCAATTTTATTTTTAGGAAGTCAGCTCAAGCTAGAGGATCACATATGAGTCAGTGTCAATTCCCCAGCAACAGATGTGTTTGTTGGTATATCTATCTGTGAAAGGGGGCTTGGTGATGCAGTGGTTAAGCATTTGGCTATTGATAAGAAAATTCGCAGTTTGAACTATTAGGAACTCCTTGGGAGGAAAATGTGGCAGTCTACCAGGTGGACTGATACAGTGACTGCAGCTTGAGCATATTAGAGACTGAGGATGGTACAAGATAGGGCAGGGTTCAGATCTATTGTTCATACTCTTAGTGACCCCTAAGAGTACTTGACTCAATGAATGGCACCTAACAACAACAACAACTTCTGTAATGCTAGCAGACTTGGAAACCTTATACAACAGTTCTACTCTGTTAGGGTTGCTAAGATGACAACAGATCTGGTTTAGATACCTGCAAAATATGCCAAGAGCTACCTATAAAGACATTCTCTGTGGCAAAGTTGATAAAATGGGACCCTGGAAACATTGTTAGGGGATTGATTAGAATATGGCACCCCCTACAAAGGAGTATGATGTAGCCGTTAAAAGGAATTTGCACCCTCTGTCACAGCAAGTGCTTTCCCATACATTGATGAAAAATCAAAGTCAATGTGTAGAACAAGTATAGGCTGTTTACATTTTTAAGAAGCATGGGTTTTAAGAAGTATGGTTTTCTTAGAATATACACAAGGTAGCTTTGGAAAGAGAATCTGGGGTTTTGTGAGAAGACTTTCACTCTATTGTTTTAGACTTTTCTGTACGGTTTGCATTTCCACCTATATCCATATGTTAGTAAAATGTAAAAATAAATAGAAACATTGAAAGCAATGCCAGTACAAGCTAGACTTTTCTGAGATGGTGTTGGGCACTGACCCATCTAGCTAAGCAAAAATTCAAAATTATCACCATTAAAAGTAGGGGTTTTTTTGACTGCTAACAGAGTTGAAGAGTTATGCAGATGACACAACCTTGCTTGCTGAAACTGAGGAGGACCTCATGCACTTGCTGCGAAGGGTCAAGGACTGCAGCCTTCAGTATGGACTAAGGCTCAACCTCAAGAAGACAAAGATTCTCGCCACTGGACCAATTGGCAGCGTCAGGATGGATGATGAAGAGATTGAGAGTGTTCACAGCTTCACTTTGCTCGGCTCCACAGTTAACACTCTTGGTACCAGCAGTCAGGAAATCAAAAAGCGTATCACGATGGGAAAGTCTGCCGTTAGGGACCTCTCAAACATACTCAGGAGCAACAGTGTCTTTCTGGAGACTAAGGTGCACCTGATACAGGTCATGGTATTTGCAATCGCTTGTTATGCATCAGAGAGTTGGACAATGACTAGGGAGGACAGAAGGAGAGTGGATGCTTTTGAGCTGTGGTGCTGGAGAAGGGTATTGAATGTACCCTGGACTGCCAGGAAAACAAACAGATCCATCTTGGAGAGGATTAAACCAAGCTGCTCCTTGGAGGCAAGGATTCTGGGGCTTCGTCTGACATACTTTGGACATGTTGCCAGGAGGGACGGGTCCTTGGAGAGGGACATCATGCTTGGGAGGGTGGAGGGACAGCACAGGAGGGGAAGACCCTCTATGAGATGGATTGATTCGGTGACTGGGGTAATCAGGATGGGTGTGTCAGAGGCGGTGTGGTTGGCGCAGGATAGAGCAGGGTTTAGAGCTGTTGTGCATAGGGTCGCTATGAGTCGGAAACGACTCGATGGCACATAACAACAACAGAGTTGAAAGGTGGATTGGGAGATGCTCTCTGCACAACAAGGTATTAATCTGACTACAACAGTTGAAAGGTTCACTGCTATCACTGATGAGCAGGTGAGGCTGTCCTAACATTTTCTAATTGTCCAAACTGCTGCACACTCTGTCATCTCTGACACGGACTATTCCTTCTCCCTTCAGTCCTTCTCCTGCCTATGTCTTTGAGATCTGTGATTCGCTGGGAGGTCTCGTCTCATAACAACTCAAAGACCATCAGACAAAAGTCTCATGTGACTTATGTGATGTCTTATGTAGGCTGACGTACACAGTCACAGACAGTGGTAAATAATGGGCAATAAATAACAAGTCTGACTTCCAGGAAACCTGTAACTAGAATCCCCCATTTTAAAAAAAAAAATAATACCATCCTAAATAGCAGATAAACCCCATTCTTATTATCACCTATGAACCATGATCTGTCCTGCAGATGAACTGTGTGCTCCTAGTGGATTTTTCTGTTCCAGTGAGTTATAAGCAGAAAGCAACAAAACTATTTAGTCTCTCAGTTAATAGTTCGGCATGTTTATCTTTTGTATTTCTGCTCTTTGAAATGATACATTCCCATTTCAAATGATAGTTGGAGCAACCAACAATCAGTGTTCTTGATGTTGATTGCCGTCAAGTCGAGCATGACTCACAGCGACCCTGTGAACAAAAGACCTGAAGTCTTTCTGTAACTATTAGGTTTGCAATATATTTCAAGACTGAAATTTGTAGTATACTGAATTAGGTAAAATGGCTCTTCTAGCTACAGTCTTCTACAAGAATGAGGAAGCATTTGTATTAAAGAGGCAGAATTGGGTGGACTACAAACCCCAACCTACCAGAAGGTATTACCCAAGTTGCCACCCTTAGTTCTCCTGGGGGTGTGGTGTATAGTGCTAAGGAACTGCACTGCCAATGCAAAGGTACTTGGTTTGACTCCACCGGCTGTTTAATGGTTGAAAGATAGGTAAT